TCAGTGCGCTATCGGATTCCTTAATTACCTCACTTAGGCCTATTTTCCTAGGACCCGTATTCCTAATTAGACGAAAAAGATTGTGATTATCAGCAATAGACCCAGCCTTTTCTATCTCTCTACACTTTCCTATCCACCACTTCTCGCGGTCACTCATTAGACTCTTGATGAGCTAGCGTTTGAGGGATTTGCGCGCTGTCATGTGTGGCATCCAGAGGGAAGGTTCTGCAGGTGTCCAGTAGGGCAACCGAAGTCGACGAGATCCATCGTTTGTGTTTTGAGCTTGAGGCAGGGTCCGACGTTGTTTTTATCAATATCTGCATAGCTTCCTTAATTTGCTTCCAGTGTTCATTGAGTCCTTCGGCTGGTGGTTGAACTGACAGGCGATCGGAGAGCTCCGCTTCGAAGGCCGATTTGCATGAATCGCTGACGTTGTATCGTGGGTATACGTTGTCGGTGGCGTTCTTGCCAGGCGAAAGAAGAATTTCGCTCGTAGCAAAGCGTGATTCGTATCCACAGGTGAGGACCAGTAAGAGCGGCAGTCTTGAATTGATCCCCTCCAGCGGTAACTGATGGTGATGCGGTCGATCTGGGTCCAGTGCATTGAAAAGATTGGTGGGTTCCATATAAGGCGGTGTCGTTTCTTGTGCGAGAAGTTGGTGCTTGATAGGAACAATCCGTGGGCGGCACACAGTTGAAGTAGATGACCTCCGTTGTCCGTCCGGCTGGCTGGAATTGCATACGGTCCGCCAAGAAGCCTTTCTGATTCGTTCAGGGATCCCGCCTGAGCATTGAAGTCTCTAGCGACTATCACTATGTCCGTTGACCGAGCATTTTGGAGCAGTTGGGAGAGATCCTTGTAGAATTCATCCTTCATTTCAGGTGCACTGCAATCGGTCGGCGCACACACCGATACGACGAACAAGCATCGAGAGTCACAAAGTGCGGTCGGTGCAGTGAATAGGATGGTAAGCTCGAGAAAAAGGAGATAAAAATCATACTGTGGTCAATGCATGAAACAGAATTTCAACCGTTGCCTTCTCGTTTCCTGTCTGGCTAACACCTCTAATCCGCTTCAGATTGCAAGCGTTTCCTAGTTTCAGGGGGGAACGGAGGATTTCGTTCAATTTCAAAGGGGAAATTCGTCGTGTGTATGTCAAATGAAGCGTTAACTGAAAAGCTAGGAAGCACTGGACAGCTGTTTCGACCTGGTGGGGTCTCATCAGTTGCACTGCGAATCCATCGACCCGACTGGGAATCGAACTCAGGACCTAATGGGCAGAACGTAAGCATGCTACCCACTCGGTCGACGGGCAGCTGATCAAACCGTTTTTCATTTTCCATTTACACGATATAGCACAACCCATCTTTGCGTGCTTGTTGCAGGCGACAGACCTCGTTCATCTCAGAACTAGCCTCTGGAATTATGACTGGGGTTGGAAACTTCACAACCTGATTACATTTTTTCAAGTGAGTAACGGAAGATTTGGTTCCTAGTTTCTTAGTTGTCTCACAGAAACAGCTCAAGTGTGAACGAAACTCAATACCCGTAGCATATGTCTGTTTACGAACACGATCGATGGGTTTGGCAAGAATTCGGGCAATGATTTAATGTAAGCATTTTCAATCCCGACAGTGTGACTGCATATTGCAATGCGAACACGAATTCGACGAACATATTTTCGGTGAATTCATTAACAAGCAGGTAAAACCATGTTTACGTTCCACTAAGCTATGTGCTCTCGAGGTCACCAAACCTTGATGCTATAGGAAAGATGCATTAATATGAGGACTGTTTACCACTTCCAGTGGTCGAACCGCAAAGTAGCTGTCACAAGGCATCAGGTGATACAGCCCCACAGTGATTTACACATTACGGTGTGAACTTTCCTTTGATGCACTTTCAGTTTCTAAAACCATTAAACACGCATCCTCATGCGGGGGTTTCGGTTGCTATCTTCTGGCTGCCAATTTGGACGAAACAGTAGAGTACAGATTCTTTTTGTTTGTTTGGAGGGAGAGGGTCTCTGTCCTTACTTCCACCTGCCTCACTCCCTGACTAATTCCCCGAGGTTTCATTCATCAAACCACTTGATTCTTGACATGCTGCTAACACGGTAGATAACTCCCCTCCAGCAAACGTTACCCTCGGAGTAGTAACCGAGCCGTTTGTTCAGCCTCGTCTGGCATGTCAGCAGTCTATCCGTGTCTAGCATGGATCATAAATGTTTCCTTGTGCTACTCACATCTGACATGGATCCAAACCCTTCTTAAATCAACTCATCGTGCACGGGATCGTTTCGTGCCAGACTACTCTCTTTCAAACTAACGCAAATCGACGTCGGTACACCTTCACCACAGAAAGTGGTGTTTGACAGGCTTGCCCTCACTCTCCGTTTCTGTCTAACTTTGTCATAGATTTAATTCTTGAAACAGCTTTATCCTTCTGCGAGGATAGCGGTATAGATTTACTTCCATGTGGTAGGTCGTCTGATTCAGAGTATGCAGACGACATTGTGCTCCGAAGTGAAGATCCAGGTAAGCTGCAAGCACTGGATAGGTTGAATGCTAGTGTAGCGATGTTCGGCATGCGCTTTGGACCTTCGAAGTGTAAAATGTTACTTCAAGACAAGGTCGGTCCTACACCCAGCCTCACCCTAACTGGAAAAGTATTAGACCAGGTGGATAACACCACTCTATAGCAATTCTCCATCTTCCGCTTTAATTTGCTTTCAACATTTCAATCTTCATTCTGTTCAGTTATCCAATTAGGGCACAAAAAGACAGCAACCAAAACCGGCGCACCAAAGTGCATGGTTAGTGGTTATAAAAATCGAACTGAACGGAAGATCTTGGAACTGAGTCTGGGGTTGTTGGATAGTACCGCATCACCGAAAGATCTCGTTCGTTTGTGTTTGTAGTTTAGACAAGCTACGTAGTGATCGCGTAAGAAACTGCACAAAATTCAACAAGGAAATCGTTGATAAAACAACTGGATCTTCCTTTGCCAATATAAGAAATGTGTTGATAGTAAAAATATAAGAATAAATTACCAACAAGAGAAAGAAAAGTAGCGAGAACGTCACATCTGTGGACTCCATTAAACTCTGTCTAGACTGGAATTTGTTTTGTTTCGTTTTTCTTAATATGCGATTCGAATGGTGTTGTTTGGCGGATAACGGAAGACATTAAAAAGTATCCTTCTGGAATTTCAAAAACACCGGTAGCCTCAGTGGGATTTGAGTCCGTGCTTGGGCGAGACCCATATCTTTGCAAAGCGCAGGAACTGCCAGCTAAACCACGAGGCAATACGGACAGGTGTCTAGCGGTATGCTTCAATGGAAGTGTTTCTCTAATCGAATACACTACACAGTATGTCCATGTCGAAGCCCTCCTGCTATTCGCTATGCACTCAGCATTAGTGTGAGGCACAAACAAGGGTGAAATGCTTTCATCTTTGAATGCATCCCCATGACTCACAACATTGATTTACTACCTGTGAAAAAGATAGTTATGGGGGGGAGTAAGCAAAGATGACGCTTTGGTGGGATTTGTATTACTAGCCCACGTAGCATTTTCAACAGCTCATACCTTTTCCAACCTCAACTTTATCGGTGCGGGATTCGCCGACGTGACTGCTTTAGCGATCGCCTCGGCCGCGGTAAATGCTTCAGCTCTCCCCAGACCGGGTAAGTGAACAAACAGACTGTCCGTGTCTCCATAGACAACTCGTGCATTACACGACTGAGGGAATGGGATCTTTCCGGAATGGACCAGTTCGATTGCGCGTTCAAGAGTTTCTCGGGATTTATGCACGATACTGTCACCGACCTTGAGCCAAAGGAATAAGGAAGACAACGTGTAAGCAGTTGAATGTGTGTACGAGGACATTGAGAGAAGAGCATGGAGAATCACACCTAACGGGTTGTACAAAGATAAAAGTAGCCATTTCATCGTCAGACATATTGTAGACTTAAAACACATACGAATGAGAGAGGATAAGAGATTAAATTTAACATGCAAAATATTCAGAATATTCAACATTATATGTCTCAGAGAGTAGGAATGCATAGTAGTAGGAAATACACTGAGTTAACCAACCCCAGAATGAGAAGAGACATTCAAGGTATGAATGCAACGTTACCTCAACACAGGGCATTCTCCCGGAAAAACTAGCTGCCGTGTAACCAAAGATCACGTTGGCCATCAGCTTTAGTCCCAGTTGTCGTGCATCTAGGAGACGTGTGAGGGACTGGAAAACAACAACACGGTCATGGATGTAATAAGCTACACCAGGAAAACAGTAATAGATGAACGAGATGCTGTGGGAAAAACAGAACCCCAAGTGAGCGATAAATCAATGAGTGTCATTTATACACGAACACATTGGGAAAGTTAACTGAAACTTCAGCTAGGATCATCGTAACCACTGTATTTTGGTGTTCGTGCAGTTTGTAATATCATCGTCTGGACTACTATCGAAAATCCCCTTGGAAATATAAAAAAATGACTGTATTACCCAAAAATACCATATACAACAATAATAAATTCTCTGTTCTCTCATTGAACAGGTAAATTTCCCCGGAATTTTCAGGAACAAGAATACAGGCAAATATATACGACCCATATCGTTGAAGCACCAGCAACACTAACCACAGAATAGCACCAGATTGGATAGATGTATGCCTGAGGACCAATGTGCATCACACAGCTCGACTAAACCACTGCTACAGAATACGCTGGCAAAAAGCAAGTGTTCTGTACGGTGATCGACACTTACTTTATTCGATTTATACAACTTCATCGAATCCTTGACCATTAGACGAGCACAGAGAAGCTGTTTTAACATGCTAGGAGAAAACAAAACCAAGTGAAATAGCTCTGTTAGGCGGGGTGAAAGAGGTACTCATTTCCAGGCACATACACAAAAACCGAAGACAAAACCAATTCCAAAAACAAGTAATCACCAGTCCACAGCATTATAAAACCAACCCAAATGCAATGAGATCCCAACCCCGAAGCTAACGATCGATTCGACACGTCTCACGCCACCCAAATGCACCTTTCGTAACTGTCAAATAGGAGGGAGGGGGCAACAGAGTTCAAGACGGGAGATACCAATTAGGTAGAATCGGTCTCCCGTCTTCCGGGTTGGAGTCCGAAAGACTCCGCAACTGGCTGGTTAGAGACAACGAAGGATATGGCAACGAACCGACAGCAGCGGCGTTCTTGTTTTCATTTGTTATCAAGTCCGAACGCTTGAAAAGGTGTGCATGCACACTTACATTGTGTGCCCTGTTTGTTGACCATAGAGATTCACTTTCTTTGCCTCCCTCCAATTAGGCCCCATCCCTCTCCATCTTGTGCTTTATCACTTGATTTGTGTACATTATGAGCTTGGCAGCGATCAGTGAAGTTCGCTTCACTGTATATCGCTATACGATGATGATGATGATAATGATGTTCAAAAATACTACCAATTCAGTGAAATAGAAGGGCTCTAGAGAAAGATAAGCAATCTGTAACAATATTCCAGTCCTATGGATGGTGTTTCCTGGGGCTATCAATGGTTCAATTTGTCCACTGACTCTGATCCCCGGGGGTAAATGACTTNTGAACAAGGCAAAGAGGAGGGCAGATATCACAGCCGCAAACTCCTTCAACTTGGCATGTATTCCGTCTGGGCCCGGAGATTGATTGGTGTTCAGTTTCTCCAGTGCGGCCTGCAGATGTTTACGTAGTTTGGCGCAGGTGGGATGGAGCGAGGTTGTAAACAACTCTGAGGTAAGTCGTCGCGTATTTGGAAATGATTCGATGGAGAATTCGTTGTCCCATCGAATTCAGATTAGTCGGCTTCACTGGTTTGGACACGTATT